CAGTTGCTAGTACTTGCTACACCCACCCACCCACGATACTCACTGACTACTACGCTGTATAAGACTGTGTCTAGAGTATTGGCTAATCGACTTCAAAAAGTGCTACCCATTCTCATACATGCGGATCAGGCCGGTTTCTTGCAAGGACGCCAGATTTTGGACACTGTTATGGCAGTATGTCAAGGTATAGAATACATAAATCGAGTGGAAGACCCAGTTGGTGTTCTGCTTCTTGATTTTGAAAAGGCTTATGATAGAGTCAATTGAGATTTCTTTTTTTTGCTTCTTTAGCGGCTCAATTTTGGACCAAAGTTTATAGCTTGTGTACAAGCTCTTTTTACAGAGGCTACCACGCGTTTGCTCATCAATGGAAAATTGTTTGAAATTGTCTAAGCTTGTTGTATTAACCCGATCTGTTCGGCAAGGTTGTCCGCTTGCTCCCTATTTGTACATCCTCTATATTGAAGCACTACATGCTATGACTCGTATAGATCAACGTATTGTAGGATTGCGATTCCCTCCTGCTCACGAAGCAAAAAAGAAATCTTTTGCCGATGATACTTCATTATTTTTGGTTATCCATGATGATGTTTTTGATGCCCTCAAAGATATCATTATCCGTTTTAAACAAGTTTTTAAGGCCAAGATTAATTGGCAAAAATTTGTCGTGTTGGCCCCATCACACTGCCCCCATCCTACCCATTGGGGTCTCCACATAGCTGAACACACAAAAGTTCATCGATTGTTGGGTTATCATATTAATTTTGATGGTCATATTGGTCGACCAACGACGCAGACTCGGATTGTAGACACAATAAACACAGTCCTCGCATCTCGGGTCAAATCCAAAGGAGTTGCTTTACTAGGAAGAGTGCTAACAATTAATAATGCGGTTTTTGCAAAACTGTGGTATGAACATTCCATATGTGCTTTGCAGTCTAATGTATATAAGCACATAAGGCGAATAGCTGCTAATTACATTTGGAAGGAGAAGGTCGATGAACCGGCTTTTATTTCCAAAGTTTCGTAGTAAAAAATAATTCAAAAGAAAAATAAAGGAGGTTTGGCTATACTAGATCCTGAATTGCAAATTCGAGCATTGCTCACCGAATGGCCACCCAGATCATTGTTTGCAGATGAATCTGCCACGTGGAAAACATTGGCTAAGTGCCTGCTCTCTCAACATTTTGGCTTCACTACAAACCCGAACCTGGTCTATTTGGCACTTTTCATGGATGAATATTGCAGAAAAAAGAGCACTTTCCCCCATTTGGAGGGACATACTTGGAGACTGGAGAGCAATCCTCCCTCTAAGGAACACCCCGGTGCTCCAATATGACAGATTATTGGCTCAACTTATTTTTAATAATCCTTGCATTTTGACTCAGGATGGTATACCTTTCCCTTTGTTCAACGATGGTGCTTTTGGTCATAGTTGGTGGTCTAGAGGTGTTGCTACCCTAGCACATCTGTGGGACGATGATACTTGTACGTGGAAAACTGAGGATAAATTGCAACATCTTTTGCATGGCCTACGACAATGGAGAAAGAATTTGCAAGATGTTCTGTCTGTTAGTAACAGACAGTATCTGCCTGGTACATGGTTTAGGGAGGACGTGGATGGCCATACACGATGTTTATGGCGCCTGAAGTCTAAATTGTCAAACATAGAATGGGAAATGATAGGTTGGAATGTGAACAATGCATATGAAGGATTGGGAACACCCCTTAAGAGGCTATCCTCAGCTTCTATCTATTCAGAAATAACAAATATGTCTGCTGTCTGTGTTTTGTAACAGACGAAGGGACTGATTACTGAATGTCGACCATACAGGCTCAATACTGCTGCGAAAGACCTGACCATTGATCCTAGAGATTGGTATTGGACAGATCATAGGAAACCAGATGATACCATCTCCCTTTTTCAGCATACTGCTAGAATGGCTTATGCTAAGTTATTACCTGATGTGGATGTTGATTGGGATGTTATAACGAAATGGAGAAAGTTGGGTTTAGTGATTAACCCTCAAAAGTTGACCTCTTTCTGGCGTCTCCTTCCATCCTTGTCAAGTGCGAAACATGCTGGGTTGCTTTGGCTTATACTGCACAATGCAGTCCCTACAGCTGCCTTTTTGTATCATCGTTGTAAGCAGGGGTCACCCTTCTGTGCAGCCTGTCTCGCAGGACATTTAGTGGTCGCAAAACATTTAGTGGAGGATCAACATCACTTGTGGGTCACGTGCGCCAACGCTCGTTCTTTTTGGGTACAGTTTAAAGAAACCTCTGTCATTCCTGATCATTGGGCAGATTTATGGTCATATGGGGCGATTTTGCTGGGAACAGTTTTTATAAGCCTCACTAAGCCACAAACTTATGTTTTGTGAGACCATCAGAGCAACGGTGTTGTGGCATCTATGGCGTCAGAGAAATGATATTGTCAGATCCAATGGCTCCTTCTCGACTCAACAAGTGCTATACATGATGAAAAGGGATCTGAGACACATTATCTGTTTGGATTGGGGCAAGAAGATCGGTAAAACAAGAAATTTGCAAGCGGGGGTACTTTGGTTCAAGAGACACTGGGCCTCTTGCCCTCCTTTGGCCTCTATTGATTAATGTACTGGAGACTTCACATTTGGCTCCTTTCTGCAAGAATTATGACGCTTGATTGTTTTGGATTGTTGCTTGTTTCTTTTTTATTCTTTTTCCTTTTATTCTTTTACTCGTAGGTTAGTTTTTGGTAGAGGGATGCTTTGGTTGTGTCCTGTTTTTATATCGTTAGTATGATCTTGTGATTCGTTATTTTGCCTGATATAGTCAGTTTTAACTATAGGGGAGGGGCTCCACCTCAAGAAGTAGGTTTTGGAGACCTTGCGGCCCCTGAATTCTGGTACTCTTTGCTTTGTATTCTTGCCTTGGGCACTGGTCCCTTTAAAAAAAAAAAAAAAAAAGTATAATTAAAAAGAAAAAAAAAAATGCAGACGACCACGAATTGTTCGAATCGTGATGCAATCAGATGACGAAAATAAAATCATGGGGGGGAAAACCAGGGTGCTGTCAGTGTTTCAGTTTGAAAAATGCATTTCAGTCACGATTTCGCCAATGTTGTGTCAAACCGAGGAAGGGAAATTGTGACTGTCTACAACCTAGTTTTTTTTTTTTTTTTTTTTCGGGATCTACCACCTAGTAGCTTTAGGGTCCAGGGGGTGTTGTATTGGTGACTGCGCCCTAGGTAGTTCAACAGAAAAATCCCCATGAGAAATGAAAGTTGAAAAGCATTCCATAAAAAAAAAAATCCTTCATATTTATAAATTATCATTCCAATGTTTGTCCAATTCTGAAATTTTCAATTTAATTTGATAAGTTCCCGTCTAAATATGAGTTTTCCCTTCCAACTACATCTATTTGTTCAAGATGGAATGAAAGTCTGGACGAGTTTATGAAATGTTTTAATTAGACTTTCATTCTACTACAACAAATATCGTCTAATTTAGATTGGATTAACCTATTTATGACTGGAAATCCTTACTTAGAATGGCAGTCCACTTAAAATATTTCATGAACTCATCCAGACTTTCATTCCATCTCTAACATACAGTTCAAATAAGAAGGTATACCCCATTCTTGGAAGGAAATTTTTCAAGTCAGACGGAAATTTTTAAAATTGGAATGACATTTTTTAAGATGGAATGAAAATTTGAAATTTAAAATGTAATTTTACTCCAGAATGATTATTTAATTCTGGGAATTTTTTCTATTGTTAGTTACCCCCAACATCATTCCGAATTACCTGGGTCCAGTCTTTTTATTTTTTATTTTTACAAAGTAATCTATATTCTTCTCTCAATCTATTTTCATTTCAATGATGATGAAAGAGAAAAGGAACACGGTCAACCCGATCCCCATGACCATCTTCGGGGTATGCCACGTCACTGCCCAGGGAATGCAGTTGCATGCCTATGCTCCGGATGTACCGGGGGCGCGCTGGGCTGCACTGAAAAGGGACCAAAGCTCAGACTGCATGCTCCCGATGGAAGAACTATCTAGGATCAGGGTAGTCGGGAACGAGGATTCAGGCTTTTTTGCCTACGAAATGGCCTCCCAGATTTGCGCACTCCCATTCGACCCTGAAGAGTGGGAATGGAAAGGAAGAGAACCCACACAGATCTGGCAATATACGGTCAAAGAAGAATACAAACAGGCCCATAAAATCCATTCCTCTACAACGGTGGTGCAAAATAGATGGAAACGGGACTCGCCACTGCAAGAGACAGAGTTGCAACACATCCCATGGTCAGCCTACACACATATAATGCCAACATCGCACAGGGCCATGCAATGGCAGATAACACACCGCTGTCTACCGACGCCCGACTGGATAACAGCACGCACAAAACTGGAACAAGCGGAAGTCATGTCCCCTATCTGCTCCCAATGTGGGGAAGGTGCGCCATGCAGACGTGCAGACTTGGAACACTGTCTGTTGGCCTGCCCGATGGCGGTACAAGTGTGGCAGTGGTGGGATGCGATGTGGCACGAGCTCACGGCATTGCCCTTCCAATGGAACGTACCTCTCATCCTGTGGGGAAAAACAAAAAGCTTTCCTCGCGTCTGGTCGCCCTTACAGGCGAACCTGTTCAAACATATGAGGCTTGCCCTCCTCATGGTTATATGGCGAATGCACAGCTCGGCAGAACACAAGGAATACACTTTTGGTCTGCACCAGGCCAAAGAAGAACTGCTCGAGGTCATCCGACAAAACCTGACAAAGGCAAGTAGGAAGCTGGTGAAAACGGTGGCGGCAGCCCCGGGCCAGGTGGACAAACAAAAGGCGATGATGGCCTTCAAACAAAAGTGGATAGACCCGAACCTTAAAATAGCGGATGTGCAAAATGACGACAAGTTAATATGGAAAAACTGGGCTGCGGAGCAACACAGGTGGGTGTATAGGCCAGAAAAGTGCTTCCATACACCCCTTCCAGGCCACCAGGATCGCACACTTGAGGATGTTCAATGGACCGATGAGCAGCAGGGCCCGGCCGAGGACTCTGGGGACTTCTCCCCTCCATCGCCAGTGTGGTCCCCTCTTCTCCCGCCTGGTCCTCCTCCCCCGATCCCGTCACCGCCGCCTTCCCTACCCTCAGCCTCGCCCCCTGGGACCCCTGCGCCTCCTCCCTCGACTCCCATGATCTCTCCACGGCCTGCACCTTCTCCCCCCCCCGTATCCCCCTCCCGGCACTTCCATCCTCCTCCCCACCCCCTATCCCAACCTGCCTGAATGGCGGCCGGCCAGCCTGAGACAACAATTCATCACCTGAACAGATGGTGAGCAGGTGTTGCCTGCCTCCCAGAACAGGGGATGGGAGAGCAGCGGTCCACCATACCTTACGGCACGCTAAGGAGATAAAAGGAGGACGTGTTCCTGGACAGATGAACGTTCAGTTTAAATGACATAAGGGAATTGGATACAAAGAGTGCATTGGGGACATAGGGGGGCTGCTGAAATAAGGACTGGGTCGATAGATAAGGGGAGCTCCTTAAAATGGGAAGGGTGACACTTGCAGCTCCAAGGGATGCTGGAGCCCCAGGATGAAACAGTAAAGAGCCGCAGTCTTGGTGCCATACGATGTTCTGATGGGACGCTGGACCGGGTTTCCAGCAGGTGCCGCTCCCCACCAACAGATGGAGCAGCCTGACAGGTAAGCCCTCAATTCTGACGGTTCTCGTACCACCGCCAGGATAGAGGGATATCGCAAGGGCTAATTAAAA